CTAAGTCTTCCTACCAATATGACCAAGTTGCGAAAACAAGGTCAAACAACTTCTATACAACGAAAAGGACTGTGACCACACAAAAGTCCACACCATCTTGGTCTTCATACCTTCGAATAAGTAATTTTGTCTACTGCTATAGCAAATACATCTGTGTTTCATCGACAATCCCATACAGAAATAGAAATGGAAAAAAATCTACTCTTCCTTAAAATCCCTATCTGCCTTATCACCCAAGGACATTCGCGGAGATCAACGTAGTGGGTAAGGTGTCGAACTTAAACGCTGCACTGTCACGGTTCGAGGTTACGCTAAGGGTTTTGATTAGACTTAGTCAAATTTGAAATTGCAGTCCATCATATATGGGAACACCTTTTGGGAATCAAGGCTAGGTGAAATTTAATGGAAACGTAAGCGCTACACATATCATTGTAACAAATTCAGCTACCAGTTTTCATCAACCTAACGACATAGGATATATAAATCTCACATATATATCATCTACTGGTAGTCTTTAAAACCTATCTACTCAAGAAAAATTCTGAATTGTTGCTTTAAGAACATGCTCCAAATAAATATTTATTTTAGACATCTTTTCAAACGTAAGCAAATAGGCGGAGACATTAATGAATAGTGATTCAAAACTAACCGAATCTCCCGATGCAAGAATTTGTGCGACATCAAACGAGCCAATACATGATAACTAATTGAGAAAAAAGATAAATAGGCGTTTAAGAAAGAGTAAGCAGTTATAAAATTGTTCTCAATTTATTTTGGGTAACACTCAAAATAGACAGCAATTAAATGTGTATTGGTGAAAGAGTTATAACGAAGAAAAATCTGTCAACTTATAAAAGAGATATAAATTGTCACAGTAAAAATAATAGTAAGAAAGTGAAGATAATTATGAACGTCAGAATATTAAAACATGATTAAGATGAAAACGAAACGACGATTAAAAAATAAATGGATAAAACTCAGCAGTAGAGGGAAGAATGTCTAATAAAAAGTATATTATAAAATAAGGGATTTAAAGAGGCAACTTTAATTTTTACAAAAGGAAATTAGTGAATTAAAATGTAAGTAGATTTTGATATTATAGAGTCTACCCGCATTTAGGCGATCCAGAGCTTAAAAGGATAGAAAATTCATGCAAAGTAATTGGAAAAAAACGTTGAAGTATAATGAAAATGTGTAATAGAGAAGAATTTATTCAATGTTCTTTCTATATGTATGGGCCCATACATATGAGGCTATCTGAACATAAAACAGCCTGCAAGGGTCTGTGTCCAAAGATTAGGACTGGCCTAACACGGCCCAAAAAAGACACTAGATAGGCCAATCTAAAGCTAAACGCTTAGCTGGATATGAGAGTATACCAGTAGGCGGAAGATTAGAGAAGCTATAAAAGTAAAAAAAACGACCAGTTTTAATACATACCTATGCTTTGGAGACCTTCATTTCGTAAAAAAGTGCATGATGAAGAGTTTCGTAGAACGGTCTAACCAGGAGACGACTATTGATTCCCGTTGTACTGTAGCCAGTTGGCTTTTATACGACGTTTAGGTCGACACAGTCCACGAGAAATCCTACCTCGTTTCGGATGAAAACTGGCTGCGCTTTCGTTCGTCATATTACGAATATGCTAAAGGCTAGAACTAATTTTTGCAAAAATCTTATATTAACAGTAATTTAAGAAGACTGAACGGCTCTAACATACAATATATATATATATACACTCATAATGGACATTAAGCTTTAATGATCCAGGGCTTACATTGGTCTTTTTTTCAAATTACTCCGAGTTTTGGCCGGTTTTGCCTACAGACTTCAATAGACAAATACACTTGGGTATAAAGGAATAAACCAAACCATTCTATATACATTTATATCTAAATATTTTTTTCACTATAAGCATATATACCATCTATGACAAAGTCGATCAGTCTTCTTGATTTAGTCTTAACGTGAGACTTTTCCGAAAATGAGTCTAGCCCTAATCTTATTAGTAATATGACAAAAAAATCAGCCAGTTTCAATCCGAAATGAGAGAGGATGTCTCGTGAACTTTATCAACATAAAAATCGTATTAGACCCAAGTGGCTGTAGTAAAGTGGGAATCAGCAGTCGCCTACTGGTGAGTTCGACCTACGAAACTCTTAGTAGTACGCTCTATTGCGAAACGAAAACCTGCACAACAATGTTATGTCAGAAGATTAATAGAGACCCACTTTTTCTTCATATGAGTAAAGTATAGACTTATTAATGACAAGTAGTTCTGGCTGGATAAATCATAATCGCTTAGCGATATTAATAGTCTAAATAAAATTTTGGAACATATTATTAAAAAAACTGGATTTAGAAACACTATAAACTGTAGCATGTAAAACAATTTGCTTATAACCTGGCATAATCGGGGTTAGTGTAACCTGAACAGGGCAGGGCCATAGCTGCATAGTGCACTGAATATGGCAGGGCAAAGTAAGTATTGCGTGAAATTGGATTGAGCAGATTAGGATCATCTAGGTTAGTTTCATTTGAAATCGGAGGTGCAGTCATAGGGGCTGCTGACGAAGAGACGGAAGCTGATAGCTCACCAATAAAACCTTCCAAATAATGTTGCGCCTGATTTAGTCCGTCAGCATCTCCAACAAGGCAAAATCTGAAACAAAGAAGCAGGTGGAAAAGAATAGGGCCGTACAGAGTTATAATAAAAGATTTTGAGACTAAGAGTCTTTCTCAATGAACAAAGGAAATTAGATAGGAAGTATAAGTCATGTAAGTTAGAAGGTTAAAATTCGACTTAGTGTTTATTTATAACCGTTTATTACATCGTAATATTTTCCTAATCCAAATTTTTCAAAAAATACTTCTAAATAAACTCAAACTCAGAGTATATAATGTAGAAAAGATTATTACTTTCTATACTAGCTGATGTTTTTAGTGAAATACGAGTCTACTTAAGAAAGCGTATCCTACCGAAATAAATGCAGGAAAGTTTCTACATAATATATCTGCCTCCCGGGCAGAAATGAATATCTAATCTGTAAATGTTCAGATGAGTAAATTTCTAGTTTAAAATTGATAGATTTTAGTAATGACTAAACCATTTCAGATTTAGTTACATATTATAAACGAAATTGTCTTTATTAGTCTATAAACCTGCAAGAGTAGGAAGATACATGAAATCATAGCTAAAATGCACCTTAACATAATAGTAGGCTGCTGCAAAGTAGATATAGAATCATTTAAATTCAAACTGCGGCTTTAGTTTATGGGTTTTATCCCTGACATTCGTAGGAATAAATGTATGTGATAGATCGAATAAACAAGACAAACCGCACCGTCATAGTCGTTTGTGAGTAGACCAAGAAAACCTATAAATATTATAAAAAGACACCTATCAACAAAATTAGCTTAGATATGAAGACGAAGCTGGTGTGGACCTTTGGTTGGCTGAGGCCTCCTTCAGCTGTATTATTGATTTAACCTCGTTTTCATTACTTGGTCGGACAACAGGGGGACCTTGTAGAAT